TCAGTTCTAGTTCAGTTCTAGTTCAGTTCTAGTTCAGTTCTAGTTCAGTTCTAGTTCAGTTCTAGTTCAGTTCTAGTTCAGTTCTAGTTCAGTTCTAGTTCAGTTCTAGTTCAGTTCTAGTTCAGTTCTAGTTCAGTTCTAGTTCAGTTCTAGTTCAGTTCTAGTTCAGTTCTAGTTCAGTTCTAGTTCAGTTCTAGTTCAGTTCTAGTTCAGTTCTAGTTCAGTTCTAGTTCAGTTCTAGTTCAGTTCTAGTTCAGTTCTAGTTCAGTTCTAGTTCAGTTCTAGTTCAGTTCTAGTTCAGTTCTAGTTCAGTTCTAGTTCAGTTCTAGTTCAGTTCTAGTTCAGTTCTAGTTCAGTTCTAGTTCAGTTCTAGTTCAGTTCTAGTTCAGTTCTAGTTCAGTTCTAGTTCAGTTCTAGTTCAGTTCTAGTTCAGTTCTAGTTCAGTTCTAGTTCAGTTCTAGTTCAGTTCTAGTTCAGTTCTAGTTCAGTTCTAGTTCAGTTCTAGTTCAGTTCTAGTTCAGTTCTAGTTCAGTTCTAGTTCAGTTCTAGTTCAGTTCTAGTTTCGTTCTAGTTCAGTTCTAGTTCAGTTCTAGTTCAGTTCTAGGTTCAGTTCTAGTTCAGTTCTAGTTCAGTTCTAGTTCAGTTCTAGTTCAGTTCTAGTTCAGTTCTAGTTCATTTCTTAGTTCAGTTCTAGTTCAGTTCTAGTTCAGTTCTAGTTCAGTTCTAGTTCAGTTCTAGTTCAGTTCTTAGTCAGTTCTAGTTCAGTTCTAGTTCAGTTTCTAGTTCAGTTCTAGTTCAGTTCTAGTTCAGTTCTAGTTCAGTTATAGTTCATTCTAGTTCCCGTTCTAGTTCAGTTCTAGTTCAGTTCTAGTTCCGTTCTATTTTAAAACATACAAAAAATAAAAAAATATAAATATTTTTTATAAATCTATGAACATTTAAATATTGAAGGGTCTAGTTCAATAATTAATAAGTCAATATCCAATTATTAGATTAAGTTCATCCACACTTTTTAAATTTACAAAACATGTATGAATATAAATTTGTAGAACTTGCAATGTATTTTTTTAAAATGATACCTTTTATTAAAATTCAACTTGGTCCATTTATTATTCCATAAATTGTACATTAAAAGACCAACTAATATGACGTTCGCTGCTTTAACAATAGATTTCACTATAGCACGACGTTCTCTACAATAAAAAACGGAAAGTTTTAAATTTGTGCATAAAAAACAATTAAATAACATAAAAAACTTACACTGAAAAACCAAGTGGAATACGACACACTAAAGCTTGATGGCCCATTAGAGTTAAACTGTTTTTACCAGCAGTAGAGTTGAAAGAGATTTTAAATCTAAACAAAACCATTTCAAATAAATATTACATAGAAGTTGTTTGAAATAAAATAGCTGATGCGTATTAAGATTTATTTTAAAAGCTCTAATGTTACTCATACGTATTGGTTTTTGGTTTTTAGGTGAAATTTGGCAAGGAACATTTTTGATTTACTTATTATTTCTTGTAAAAAATGTAACTAAAGCTCAAAAACTGCAATAGCTAGAGCCCTTCAATTTTGTATGGACAGCTTTGGCATCATATGAACATATGGGGACAAAATTATTGCCCTACCTATAGTGGGCGTGGCACCTCCCACGTAAAGAAAATCTTATATTAGAATAATATAACTATTAGAGCTAAAATCTTTTAATTTTGCACGGGTAGCATTAAAATCCATACTAACGTTTGGAAAAATTAATAAAATTGCAATTGTTGATTTTTTGACAAAAATGTAAAAATCTGCGAGTTTCATCTGGCTATTTGGTTAAAACCTTTTTTATTGTAATTTGGAATATTTATTGATTGTTTTTCAGCTTTCAGAACTAAAAAATTGTTTTCAGATTTTTTGTACAAGCCGTTATGTGTGACGTGACATGACGTGATGTGACAAAAATTTCCAATCCTGAAATTTGCAATATTATTGAAAATTAATTAGTCCATAGATTTATTTTGGACGGACATTGTTGAAAGTTTTTGGAATCAGAGAAATATTTCGACTATTTAATAACATTTTAGTTGAAAATAGCTCCCGTATAAGAATAATATAAGAATTAACATTAATTAACATAAAACTTTTAAAAATGCTTATATCACCATAAAATTCAACACAAATAATTTTGACATACACAAAAATCGTTCATCCAAATTTTTTTAAAAATTGGTCCATGATTAGGCATAGCTTCCATACAAAGCCCACATTTGATATACCCATAAACTTGGATATATAACTTAAATTTCGCCATCCTGATAATACAAACACACAAAAAACTTTCAAATGTACAACTACTGACCCTTCTGATGATAATACAATAATCGGTCATAACGCCCATATAAAGCCGATATCCTAAAATCACTTTTTTTCCATACATTTCTTACAAATATCATTTGTTGAATTTCTGTGCTTTTTCTTCCACTTATCAACTGAAAAATCATAACTATCACCTAATTGAATAAATTGCATAAATATCACATCTTTTTAAATAACAATATTTCACAATTCGAAGGTTGCACTTGAGAAAATTTATGTAATGTGACGTGACAGACTTTGAAATTCTATAAAAAATAACCCCGCTTAGAATTATTTTTTTTCTTTTAAATTTAAGTTATCGGGATAAATCCTGTTTCAACGTGACGAACGTGACATTTAAAAGTCTATGAAAGAAAACCGAAAATTTGCCTTTTAAGGATCTTTATCTTTTTATATTTGTATGTTTTAAGATAACTATTATTCCAACAAGTATTTTCCGATAAAAGTCCATTTAAATATTAGCCTTTAAAATAATAAAAACTATTAAAAGCAAATGCTACTAAAGGTGCAAAAATATGCCTGAAATATTATTGTAACTTTTAATTCCGATTTCTCATCATAGTTGTTAAGAAAAGCTTTGGGGTCTTTAATTTAATAAAATTTGAATCTTTTTCTATAATAATAGAAGTTGAAATTTTATTTTTGATGACTTTTAGTTTTTGAGCCACGGTGGACTTTTCGGTGGAAATGCCCATATGTACCCTGTATCATCACTGTGGGGGAGGGTATAAAAACTTTTGTGAAAAATTAAAGAAATCTAATTAACACAGAAATACCAAGAAGATGATAATCGGTTTTAATAAATTCCGCTATATACATATTTAAGTTTTTTTAATTTCTTGTCATAATTTAATTTCAAAGAAATGGTATCAAAATTGTTTTAATGTTTGCTTTAAGCCATAACACATTGTGCAAAATTTAATACGGGAGCACCTTATTAAATATGAAGCTACTGAATCTGATGTGTTAGACAAATTATAAATGTAAATATTCCAGAAATACTATTTAGACTTTCATATTGTCTTAAAATTAAAACTTTATATAATTCCCGTAAATGGAAGTTGCTAATTGTTTTAAATGTAAAGCAAGAAACTTGCATGTAAATTCCTCATGCAATTGTTTTTTTTAAATACTCGCACAAAACAAAAAATAAAATATATTGGCGGCCAAGGAAAGTTATACCCTAATGTTTATATTATACATATATTTTGTTTTGGCAACGAAAATTACCACAAAACATGCAATCAAAACGAGAACAAATCTAAAAAAAATGTTTTTTTGTTATTATATTCTTCAAAAATAAAACGCAATGGTAAAGGATTTGCAAATGAAGTGCAATGAAATACAACATAACAAAAGTATAAAAACCTCATGAGTTTTTAATTACTTTTTGAATACAGCAAAAAAGAAAAAATAACTTTATTTGCCAATAATAACAAATAGAAGAAAGAATAAGAACTGTTATTTGTACCCATGTTTCTTCTTATTTTGGAATAGTATGTAAGTCATTGTCGAAATCGCGAAAATTCGAGGATAATAGCACTTTACAGTTTTACTTACCTATTACTGGACATGGTTCATATTAATTTTTAATTAAATAAAAAATGCATTAAAAATTACTTTTTTATTATTATGATACAAATTTCCAACAATTTACTTCCTAAATCCGTTTAGAAACTTGAAATTTGTTTTTACTGGCTTTTAAATGCAAAGGTACGAAAACCCGTTTCTACCTGTATATCAAGATTTTGGAGGTGTTTTGAAAATTTCTACGAAAAGTATAAAAAAGAATAAACATTAAATATAATTTCCCACTTTTTATTCACCTATAACACTATGCAACAAATTTTGGGTCTTCGAAAACGGGAAATGAAAGTAGAAAATTAATAGACCTAATTCCCCAAAGGGTTTTAAAAAGTTAGCTCGTAAGAGTTATAAAAAGGATTAAAATTGAAATTGTATATATTCTAACACATTTATAGGATTTTAATCATTTTAGACTGTAATTAATGCCAATGTGACGTAGTTTAACAATATTTTATTAGAAATATTATGGTTTTAAAATGTCCTTGAGTCAAGGATATCTTAAAAACGGTATCATCAACAACATATAAAATATAAGAATTGGACCATAAGGGGATCCATAGAAAATCTAATTTTAGTAAACTAATCTATTTTACTTCTGTACAAATTTTAAAATTTCAAATTTTATTTTTTGATAAATCAAATAAAATTTGAAAATTTTTAGTAGTGTATCTACTAACAATTATTAAAATTGAAAGAAAATTAAAGCCCACAAAGTATAAACATTAATAAATTTAAATATCTTTGACCTTAAGTAGTCAAATATACACACATATAAAATGCAATAAATTGTTCACAAAATTGCAAAACTTTAAATGCCTATAAATTAAAAATTCTTGTTGCACTGTGTAATTTAAATATTTTCCGTGTGTACAATCCTCTCACATGCCAAGTAGATAAATGTTAGATAAAACTCCATAGGGAAATTAAATTAAAAAGGCTCTTACTCTTTTTTACATTACCACGAAATAACTACGAAACCCATGATAAAAAATTTTTATTTCAATTGAACAATTTAGTATTTTTTTAATATTTAAACTCGATAGAAATTCCATACACAACTAAACGTATTTATTTTGTTCGTATTTGTTCGATATTACTTATATATATTGGGTTTATTTTAACAACAATTATTTTAGTATTAAAAATATTTAATACATATTTTATACTTAGCAAGGGAACAAATATTTGTGCGGTTTAATCGTATGAGTCGGGAATTACTTTTTTAGTCGATTGTTTCGTTCATTCAATCATGCAAACAACAGCTTCCTGGGGTGCCATAATAAAATTTGTAACTTCTTTCGCAGCCATAACAATCCTATTTATTTGCCGAGAAAAAATAAAGATAAAACACAACAATACAAACGAAAACATAAAAACAGCAATAATAACAATAGTAATAAATTTAGCAAATTAATTTAATAAATCAATTGATTAACAAGGGAGGCAAAGGGAAAAGCGTTTAGCATATGAGATAAGAAATAAAGAAAAAGACTTTTCAGCACAAATACTTACCCTTTATCATAAATAGAATTTACTCCTGATATTAGCACTGTCAATTGTTTAATGTCATCTAGTACATCGTCCAAATTAACAACCTCTTCCTCAGATCCCACATTCATAATAGTTATAATAGATGTATGGCCTTTTAAAAATCTTTAAAGAGGAATTAATTTTAAAATAGAAGTCATCTTCTGAAAGACTCATAAAAAATTGTTAATGGTCTTTAATCCTTGCAATTGATTAAATATTTAAAAATTTTCTTACCTTATTACTGCAAAAACATTACGATTTATAACCTCCAAACGTGTACGTCCATGTTGTAATACCTCCAATTTCCGCATTTGCACCAAATCCTTATAAATCTTATAATGACTCTTTTCTGCGGCTTTTTGTAATTCCAAATTTAGTTCTTCATAATTTGGGTTAACCGGCAACCAAGTTTTGTCGGCATTTGAAAAGCCGGCATTTTTATCTGCACTCCATTGGAAAGGTGTACGTTCTGGATCACGTGAGACCAGTTTATAATTATCTGGTCCAGCGTTACGTGCCGGCGGATCGACGGTATCCAACCAACTAATATCACGAAAATCTTCCATGCCAATTTCCTCCCCCTTTGATAATAATTAATTTGAATTACATATTTTTTACTGTAAATGAAACTAAATACCCACATTATATGTAACCGCCACACCTGGTAGTGTCATAATCAGCATATTAATGGCGTCAACAATATTTTTACTAAATCTGGAAGCTATGCGTGGATTATCATGGTTACCCATAACCCAATTGGCTGTATGATTTTTCGGCATATATGTCAACCATTTCTGTATGTTAAATACAAAATCTCTGGCATCTGATTTATCATTAAGATCTGTTAGCAACAAAAAGTTAAAGGGAAATTGAGGTCCTTTGGCACCTTCTCTATTCTCATAATAGTCCATTAAAAATTTCAATTCCGCATAGGCCTCAGTCATCATAATGCGAGCGGGGCCACCATGAGTTTGAGAGTAATCATCCAATAAAGCACGCCAGTGATATAACATATCATATACTTCGGGCTTAAAAAATAAATATGTAACTGTGTTTTATTTGCCTACGTCTATGTCTTTTTTATACCCACGTGTGTGTTTTTTAATTTAAAGTGAATTTCGAAAGGTGGCCATAAAGTTTACGATATTTATACTGAATTGTATTATATCGATAACAAAGATACCTCTGCACTGTGGATCCAAATATCTAGGTGGACAAAATTAAAAATCGGTATCTTCTGAATGTGGATAAATAAAGTTTTTTTCGGTTGCTAACAAAATGCTCTCCTCCAATACAAAAGAGTTTTTCAAATGGACGTTTCTTTTTCACAAGAGAAGTGCGAGAAATTCAACAAATGTGGGATAATATTTTCGTTTAAACATTCTTAATATATGAATCCTTAACTAAATTAAATGTACATACATTAATTATTTCACCATATAACTAGAAACCCAGACTTCAAAATTTATATAAACATAAGATAAGACTTTTCTTAATGCAAATTTTATATTCAATGTCCTGTTTTAGTCCTTTAAACTTGGGTCTCAAATATATTATTTTTTGTACAATATTATATAGCTTGCCAAAAAAGACCGTCGAAGCCCGTATATAGATTAAATGTATCGTTTAAAGGAACTTCCAGTGAATATCTCTGCAGTAAAATTATATCCGCCAAAACCCGGCGAAATTGTATTTTTTTGCTTTTAATAAAATGTAATTTAGGGAAATGTATTAATAAATCCTATCAAATATAACAAGAAAAATATACATGGTAGGCAATTTTAAACTCCATAGTTAGTTTCAGAGACACCAAATCCTCATAAAAAACGAAGAAAACTTTGTTAAAAATCATATTTTTTAATTTTATAGTTTCATATACTACTGTAACTTCCAAAATAGCAAATACAAATCTTTTTAAACATTTTCTTTGGATTCAGAGGGATCAATCTAAAAAAAGAGCCTTTAATCATTTGTCCACTAAGATTTTGATTTGGAACCACAGTGCTCAAGGTGAGTTTCGAAAAGAAGTTGAATGCGACTAGGGTCAAATATGGACCGATCCTCATAAAATTTGGGCGTGGGATTTTTATTCATATAAAACTTGTTTGTGCCAAATTTAATCATAATACTAGTGATTAGAAGTGAGTTACGGACGTTTAAGTATTTTTCTGAAATTAAACTTTGAATGGAACTAGGGTTAAATAAGGTCCAATCATTCGGCATAATGGTTTAGGCTGACTATATATATTTTAGATTTTTGAAGGGGTAGTATAATAATTAACAGAATTATGAGCTAAAAAGTGATATTGCGGATCTGTTTTTATGGCGGCGAGGCGTAAAAATAGACCGATTTTAAAATTTTTAACAGTTTTCGTCTTTGGTGCTACAAAAGATCATAAACCAAACTTTGTTGAATTATCCTCAAAAATGCAAAAGTTATTATAAGGTTTTTATTTTTTCAGTCGTGGTTTACCTTTTCATGGAATTGCCCATATGATACCCTACACCATGAGTATGTTTTAAAAAATATTTTTTATGGAAAGAAAATACTTTTTCAATTTTAACTTAATTTAACCGTTATCGCTAAGCTATGGTTACCTCTAAAATACCTTTTCAGCACTACTACCGTTACTGCTAAAATACCGATACTGAAATAAGCCAAAAACCCATATCGTTAAAATATCAATACCGATATAAGTCAAAATACCGATACAGCAAAAAGTTACATTACAAAGATGCAGTTTGATCAGAATTACAAGTGATGACGAAGTAAAGACATAAAGACATTTTGTGTAAATGTAAATCATTCTGCGAAATTCATTTAAATGCAGAAAGAATAAATAAAGATATCGAAATAAAATTTTACAGAAATATGTTCTGTGTACATATAAATCACTTTGCCAAATTGTTTCCGGATCGGTCCATAATTGGTCATATGTCCCACTTCCGAAAATCACCTAAAAACACAATATGTCATTGAAAAATTAAGATATGTATCAAAAAATATTCCACATGAATTAGTGTTTTGTATATACCTATGAAAAATAGTTTTGGATAACATCATATGATGTTACCCAAAATATTCTGGGTTTAATGTTGTCCATTCGTGAGCTGGACAGTTTTCAAGAAAATATCCTAAAGGGGACATGTTTACATGTCCAATTTAAAATTTCACCCATCTTCAACATACTTTTTTGTTCTCAAAATATTTTAAGTCTAGATAGCCTTTCATGAGCTGAACCGGTTACAAAAATGTCCCTTTTTAGTAATTTTTATTATTTTTGTTTAACAAAATATACAATATGTGGTATCATTTGAAAGGCTTTTGGCCGCCGCGTCTATTATTATTATTACATCATTGGACGCAGCCTTTAAAACATACATATTAAATATAGTGTTTCAAAACAGAACTAAAATTTAAAAAAAAAAAAGTAATTTAAATATACATTTTTTAAATTTGGTCCAGCTCACGAACGGTCACCGCTCAAAATATTTTGGGAATCATCATTTAACAACGCAAACTAAATTTTGAGATGATTAACAAAAACATGATTTTGCTTTCCATACATAGTGAGTCTATCTAATATACATATGTATATAAATCAACATGCCAAATTGTTTCCGGATCAGTCCATAATTGAATCAGTCCAACATATGAAAATCAGTTAATTCCACTTATTTCATTAATATATCAGTATATATGGCCCATTTTCATTTAGCTACATATCTAAAATTCTGCCGCAAATGCCTTATTTGTCTGATGCGTTTCTATAAAAATATATTAAAATATTTACCAAATCTTTGGTGTGGATGTGTTGAGTATATTCATATGAATTTGGATCTTCTGTTTTGCCACTTATAGGTTCATCTACCAAGTCGGGGTGTTCAAATAAATGATTCACAGCATCTACACGAAAACCACTAACTCCTTTATCAAGCCAAAATAGTATAACCTCATCCATAGCTTTTACCACCTTAGGATTACGGTAGTTTAAATCTGGTTGTTCTTTAGTAAATTGATGATAATAGTATTGCTTTCTTTCGGTATGCCAAGTCCAAGCTGAACCATAGAATACTGATTGCTGATCAAATAAAATTATATCAATATAAATGTTTTCGCTTTATTAAATATTATTTACCCAATTATTTGGTGGCTCGTGTTCTCCATCATCGTTTATCTTACCATCTGACCAAACATAGAAATCTTCATAACCTTCTTCTCTAGCTGCTGATTTTATAAACCATTCACTCTGATCGGAAGAATGATTGGGTACAAAGTCCAAAATAATTTTAATATCCAAATTATTCGCTTTTAATATAAGTTCTTCGAAGTCCTCCATGGTTCCGTATTCGTTGTGTATGTCCTTAAAATTAGAAATATCATAGCCAAAATCGACCATGGGTGATTGAAAGATGGGACTTAACCATGTAGCCGTAATACCAGTTTCAGCAAGGTACGGTAATTTCTGGATTACGCCTAAATTAATAAGTAAATATGTATTTTATACGTTCTTCTGTGTGTATGTACCCTGCAAAAATTGAGACTACTCCGTATAAGCGTGTAATGAATACTCCTCAACGGACTAGGACTCGCCCAAAACTAATCTAAATATATATTAAAAAAATACTTCATTTTATATTGAGGTGTCCTAGGTTAGAAACACGTTATCCTTCCATGTCTGTCTGTCCATAATTTCAGATAGTCACATTTCATAATTATGAATACGAGACCAATGACTTTTATTCGAAATTTTCCATTTTTTTTTAATCAGTTAATCCGATTTAAGGTTTTTACTTAATCGGTTAGCAATCAAATTTCAAATTGTTCGAATAATCATTATTTGGTATTATGCAATTTCATATCATTCGAACAATTATTAAACGAAAAAACGAATAGCTGTTAGTCGATTAAATACTTTAATGAACACCCTCAGTACTAGTAAAAACCTCCTAAAAAAATTACCTTGTAGATCCCCTATACCATCATCATCACTGTCCTTAAATGAACGTGGATAAATTTGATAAAATACCGCATGTTTCCACCAATCATTGTCCACCTCGATAATTTTACTTGAGTCTGCATCAGATTCAGCTTTAGTCATAGTCATCGGTCTCTGGAACATTAAGATGAAGAATAAAGCATAAAATTCAAGCATATTTTCTAAATTTGTAGCAAATATGTATGTATATTGATTTGTTTTTGCAAAATTAAGTTTGTTGCTTTTGTTATTTTTAAAGAGTATAGATTAAAATTTTTGTTTCATTGAAATATTTTATATATTTTTGTTGTTTTTTTAACTCATTAAATACTCTTGGCTGAGCACTAACTGAAACTTTTAGTGAAATATATTCATGCTTAAATATAAACTAATAAAAAATTTATTTAGACAAACTGCATCAATTATTTTATTGTGACAATTATTACATTCTCAACAAATAAAGAAACGTTTTTCGTGTTATTTTCAATAATTTTGTTGTTTTTATGTAAAATCGTATATTTTTAATTTTATTTTATTAGATTTCTCACTAATGTTTAATCAAAACAAACAATTAAATCTCTTTTAATTGCTCAGCACACAAAGAGATCTCACACGATAATCCACTAAAATTTTAGACATGCTACTGATTGAACACACAAAATTTCAGCTAAAAATATAAACGCGCAGTAACATCATGATTACAATTAGAACCGAGGGCGACGAATTATAATTAAACTACTGTCAATGGACTAAATTTTTTGACCTTTATAAGAAAAAATTAACGCAAAATGATGTTTCTGTTTAAAAGTAAAGTTATTCTTTAAAGATTTTCGCTTTTTTTATATTTATTTTATTTAATAGCTTCCGTTAATATTAAACCTAGCGAGAACTGCGCAATGTGTGAAATAAATGAATATTGAGAGGATTGCCAGAGAGCGAGACAAAACATAATAGATTAGATGATATAATTTATATCCCAACCACTAGATTTTTTTTGCTCTCCATGCAAAATATATGAAAACTCATTGTCGAAGCATTTGTGGTTCCAATTGTAATAAATGTGAAAACTGCATAAAACCAAGAGCAAAACGATGCCAGATGGTTATAAAAAGCTCTACTAAATAGTTAAAGAAAAACACAAAGATAATTGAAAAAACAATTCTTAGATTACACTTGGAATTTAATAGTGCCCTAAAGTATGCTTTAAGAAAACCTTATTTTGGTAATGTAGTAGAAGCGAAAAAATATATGTATATACGTACATATTTAAAAAATGCTTAATTGTAGGCAACATGATAAAAGCAGTGCTGCCAAACCTAAAGAAAATTTCCTTTTTGTAGAGCTTTTTATTTTTTGTGAATTTGTAGATTTTTAGATTTTGGAAAAATTAACATCCATTCTCCATATTTAAGAGATCTTCGAATTTTGTATGAATAACTTTAACATCTATTTGAACAATTGGAAGAAAAATGGGCAGACTTTTATTAGGGAGTCTTGGCACCTCCCTTATGAATTGAGTACTCAAATCCAGATCCTTAACTAACTTTACGATTAGGTAAAATAAAAATCTGTAATCAACTTAATTTATTATCAAAAATCGTTTTTCATCAGCGTAAAATCGGTTATAGATCCGTATATAATACTCCCATCACTTATATTTTCCACCGGCTGTATATCCTCAAAAAATAACTTTTATAAAACAGAATCCGATGTAGTTTATTACTATCGAGAAAGTAGCATTTTTTTATCAAAATTATATTGTTGTAGATCCGTATAAATAAGTTTCCCACGATCGAGAAAACTATAAGCTATTTTTGATCTTGAATGAATGTCTACAATGCCACATTTGTATGCAGAATAAAAACTACTGAACAAAAACCGCTCCTAAAATAGGGTAAATAATATATTACATATTCATAAATTCGAATTTTAAATCGGCTTTGGTCCTTATATAACACTTAAATTTATATAGAAAATCATTCATATCTCCCCTTTAAAATTTCTACTTATATAACTCTTTAAAAATGTATTTTAAATAACTCAATTTGAGAAAACAATAAAGATCCGTAATCACTCATATTTTCCATACAAATCGAGTTTTATATCAAAAATATAAAATTTAAATTTATTGTTAAATCGAGATACTCTGTGATCAGTTAAATCAACCATCAAAAAATTATCTAGATATAAATTCGGTTGCCATTTTTAAATGCAGCTCAAATCTAAAAAAAAAACCATGAAGAGATGTATTTGAGTACTCATTAGAGTGTCCCGAAAGACAGCACTTTTAGAAATCTTATATAGGTAGACCTCTCAAACTATGCATATAAAGCATTGTTCACATTAAATTTGGATAAATTCATCTTTCGATATCTTTTTATACATTTAGAGAATTATCTACCAAAAATTCTACACAGCTTTTTCTGTATGTAGCGCCGTATTTATTCCAAGCTTTTCAAATTAAATAATGATTTTGAATAATTCCAGCACACATTTTCCATTAACAAATTCCGAAATTTTTTTAATTAGAGGAAGATGTGGATATTTTAATTAGTAAAATTATTTTGGTATCTTTTTATACCCTACACTACTTTAGTGGGGAGGTAGGGATGCCAAACTGCACTGGTTTTTACAAATCCCGGGATTCGGGATTTTGAAAATTGTAATCCCGGGATTTTACGGGAATTTCGGGATTACATAAATTTAATTATTTTATACATGAAAATCTTAAATCTTCATGTTTGTGAAGAAAATTGTTTAATCTTGTGGAAATTAATCGACAGAAGATAAATTTAAATTAAAGCAATCCAATTAATTCCATTTTCTTAAATAAAAGCTTTTAGAATATCATAATTTCAGAAATTTTTTGAAGTTTTAAATTTTAAAAATATGTCTTTTCGCGTACTTTGCTGTAAGAAATATCCAGTAACTTTATGATAGAGAGTAATTTTTAATTTACTCTCAATCAAAAAAATATCCAAAAAAGTACGCGAAAGCCAATTTTTTAAAAAAATGTGCAAGTTTTTGTTTATAAACAAAATCTCAATCGCTAACAAAACACTAAAAAATAAATAATTGAAACTTTGATTTTTCCTATAAATAAATAGATATTTAAAGTTAACAAAACATGCAGTATCATTATAAATATATTATTGTTTTAAAACTTTATGATACAAACATATTATTAAAATAAAAATTTACACAAAATCGATAAGAGAAAGACAAACTAAATTGTTTTAAATACGCTAGATTTGCAATATTTGTAATGATTTTCCACAACAAATAAACTCTTTTAAAAACTAGTTTATGATAAATAAAATTAAAATAAATCTACAAATAATTTTTTTAACATTCGTGTGTAATTAATTTGTATATTTCTTTAAAAAAATTAAAATTTACCAAATTTTCGATTTCTTTGGTTTGTTTACATATTCATAAATCAAACATATGTTGTGAATATAAGTTTGATATTTTTTACTGGGGAAAAAATACCTAGTAAAATCAAAAATTCTCTATCAACGAACTGTAATTTTTATCGCTCTCTTACTCTCTCGTTGAAAGTTTTCAAAAGTACGCGAACGGAATCCAATAACAATTGTTGCAAATTGTTACAAATTATCGAGTACGCGAACAGACCTAATATTTATTGCGACATCAGCTGTTCAAGTGTTGAGACATGATAGAAGAGGGAAATCATAACTTAGTTGTATAACAAATGTACAATCAGTGTTGGCTAACATGATTTGACAAAGATAACCTAAAAATTATTGCAGTGTACTAAAAAAATCGATTTAGCTGGACAAATTAAATTTTAGCTTGAAACTGGACAAGCATCAAAAAAGCTGGACAATCCAGCCAAGTCCAGCCAGGCTGGCAACCCTAAATGTAGACCACACAACTTTGTCAACATTGCAACAATTCGTTGTCGCAATCTAAACTTTATGCACATCAGTTGTCTAAATGTTAACAAACGTGGAAAGCTCACTATTTACAACGCATTTTGAGCTAACCACTTTTTTTAACTTTAGACAACGGATGTGCCGCGGATGTTCCGCTCATAAAATTGCAACGAATATTTTTAATACAAAATTAAACAAATAAAAACAATTTTATAAAAGTCTCACATTCCAAATGAAAATATCAAATGCACACAGAAAACAATACAATTTTAATCAAGTAATAAAACATTTTTGTTAACGCTCTATCCAATTTTCCAAATATCACTGGTCTGCACTCAAATCTTCCTTTAAAAAACTGTGTTAGAACATAAGATATTGCCACACTCAATCTGCGCCTGCTTTCGATTTCTTCCTATCACGTCACAATTTTGGGTAAATCACTATTTTGCTTAACCCTTATGGGACCGAACTCAAATATCAAACATTATTTCAAATAAAACTTTTTTAATAAACTTCTAATAGTATTGTACTTACAATATTTGAAAGTATAAGACTACAAATTTTTAAGGTAGCTCCATTTGAGAGTTATAAGCGTTTAAGCAACAACAGTTTATCAATATGATAAATCCATTATTAAATATTATTGTTATCTGTAAACAAATTATTTGTTCTATATTACAAACTTTGTTGAATGTTAACAATTTTCAGTAACAAAAATAAATTTTATATTTACAAAATTGGTTGTTAGTTCCTTTTTAATTAAAAACTTGATTGTATTGACGATTTTTTTTTTTTAATATGACAATTGATTTGTTGTAATTTTTATCTGTGTAAGTAGTGCCTACACATGCATATTCAGCACACTACCATTTCGTAAATACATAAATATTTTATATCTCATCATCGTGTAAAAATATGACACATTTTTTAACGTTGTTCTATAACTTTTGTTTTGTTCAACCGATCTTTATTATTTCAATAATCTTCTGATGAGAAAAAAAGAAAATATTTTGATTTATATTATTTAGACGTAAAAAATATAGTAAAAATAGTTGAAACTGTTAATCCATACTAATTAGCAGAATATATTTGCAACGCAATTGTGTCAGTTTTTAGCTTTTTGTTTTTCATATGTACATTTTCCTTAAATCTATTTACATCATAAAAATGAATACATTAAACAAAAAGAAGCAGAGGTTATCAGATCTACAAATATACACTAATTAAAATGACTAAATCAAGTTGGAGAGTGAATAATATTTATTTGAATTTGTAAAGAAATGTAGGAATTACATTAATAAATGTGCAATTAAAAGCTGAGATTAAAGCCAGTTTTAATTAAGATTTATAACTGCCGTATGACTCTTTCACTTTTAATTAAAAAATATAAATTAAAGCTTTTTATTTGAAAATCAAACTATGTACATATTATTTAAAAATTTTGTCGTTTTTCTCTGGGGCAAGCTCCTTCATTAGCCATTTCCAATGGACGACGTAGTTTTTTGTAAAATTGTTGGGATTTCTCAAACTCATAACGATTTATGTACGTGATGCCATTCGAGCCACAAATCTTCTCTTTTTTCTCCTTGCGATCAAATAGACCAGCATTTGAAACAGTTATACAGCAGGCCAAAAACAAAATGGCAAAGAAAATAAACAAATATTTCATATTTTTTTTTTTTTTTTTCTTGACAAAAACAAAAATTTAACAAAATTTTAAAATTTAAAAGCGATTATAATAAATTTCTTATATTTCACTTCAATGAAACTCGCTAAAATAATTTGTATGCAGTTAAAGTTGCTGCTTTTCTAGTACAGTGGAATTTTTCTAGTTACTTTTTTATTTATTTTTATATTTATGATGAGTTCTGAGTAATTTGTTTATTTTATTTTCTTATTTTTATTAAAAAATATATTTAAATGTACTTTTTATCTTTAACAAATATTTATTCACAACAAATTTGCTTTGTAGAAATGACGTAGTTGATGCTGTTATTAAAATCCAGTTAAATTTCCGTATGCTACTAAGAGTGTGCTTTAAATTAGACTTAAATTTTAATTGTGAAATATCCAATTATAACTGACTGTATCTTATAATATAGCTGCTCATTTTACTCACGTTTGCTTTGATATTTGAAATGCAAAAAGTAAAAGTGAAAGCGACATTAACTCATTATACCCTACAACACTACATTGGAGTTAAAACCGATATTTGTAGCACTAATAATTAATCCCACCTTAGCGTTATAGTATTCCAATTTACTGAAACATTTTGAATAGGAATATAAAGAAGTGACATGTTCACAATTACTGATATCTATTATCATATCTGCAAATTAATAGGCTAATCAAAATTTAGGCTCGCTTTGTTCATAATTATAAATTAATTAAGTTTGCAAAATATCCGAACTTGTACTTACTTAACTTTTTACAGATGAGTGATCAGAAAACACAATTTACCTTGAATGCCAAATAAAGATGCAAATTTAATTAATAAAAAACACCAATTGAATAATTAATTTGATTTTATTAGTAGCACAAATCACACAATTTTTTCGATTAACGAACGATTATTGAAAATAATATTTAAATATGCTTTAAATTAAAGCTGTCTTCTAACTCATTTTAAAAATATCTGCGATTAAAAATAAATTGATACTTAAACACAATGAATATTTTCTTCATTATTATGATAATTATTATAATTAGCTTTTATTTTTTTTTCATTAATAAAGCCATCCATTATGGTCCGACTCCGACCTTTAACAAGATCCCACATTTCGTATATTCAAAGTGCGTCCCAATTTTTTGTATTCCCTTTGAGTGCATTCAAATTCACATCGATTTTTGTAGGTGACACCATTCGAACCACAAATCATTTCCTTGTTCGACAAATCGCAGGGGCAAAATGCTGCTTCATTGATGCTCACAAAGGCAGAAAGGGTAAGAAAAATACCCAAGATTAAAGCAAAAATTTTCATTGTGATTGTATAATGTTTTACTTAAATTTTTCTAATTCTAAAATATAAACAGACAAAAATAAGTGAGACAAGTTCGTTTGTCTATTTAAGACTGAAATTTATATTATCAACTTCGCACTTGAATAGCTCGAGAGTAGGAATATTTTTATTTTATTTTAACACACTTTTCTCTTTCTCATTCTCCGTTTTGTTTTTATTTTCATGTTTAATATTGATTTAAAGTGTTGTTCTTCTAATATCCGAAAAAAAATTTACACAAAGTTAAGTAAACAAACACAAATAAGTAATTACATTCATAAACTATATTCATAAACGCTTTATAAAGTTGTTGACTGTTTATTGTAGGAATTTTGTATTGAAAATGTGCGTAATAAACGATTGATATCTTAATTGAACGGGGGTAAATGTTTAATTTATTGTGTTTTTTTAAAGCAAGGAGAGATGCATTTTGTTAGAGTACTACAATTTCGGAAGTTTAATATACCCTTCGTCATTCCATTTGTAAATTCCTCAATAGAATTTTCTAAACTTATAATCTATTAATCAACGTCCGTCTGTACGTCTGTTTGTTGAAATCAATTATCTAAAGACCCCAGATATCATCGGGATCCAAATCTTCAACAATAACGTTAATAAAAAACGGAGATATAAACAAAAATCCGAGACAACCTCTAAAAATTTCATCAAAAAAATAAATTTTTTGCATGCTTTGATAAAAAAGCAACAATAACACTGCTTATTGGAAAAAACATTTGCTTGGATGTGTGTTGTTTTTATAGCTTTGCGTATTTTGTTTTTATACCCTACAACACTATAGTGGGGAGCGTATTATGCGTTTGTGCTGATGGTTGTAACACCCAGAATTACTTTCTGAGTCGATTTAGCTATGAAAAAAAAAAATTGTTAAAAAAAAAATTGTTAAATATGCACAATTCGCTTAAAAAATGTCGCGATGATATTCAGGAAAAATACATTTTATGTAAACGTAGATTCATCCACCAAATTGTATGGAGATCGGTCCACATTTTCCCCCAGTCCCGATATAAAGTTTCTTTCATTAAATTAGGTTTTAATCAATAAATTGCTTAAATATATCGGAGGCATTTAACTTTAATGCTTTATAATGAAAAAATAAACCGCATTTTATTCTCTTAAGTGGTGTAGGTTTTTATATGGTCGGCCATGCCCGACTATAATTTCATACTTGTTTTAGTTCTATTTATAAATATCAATAGTTTTACGAAAAAGCTTTTTCACTAGAAAAGAAAAGCTCTTACACAAGTAAAATTGTTTAAACGTTTTACAGTCATAAAAATATATTTAAATGAAATTTAACAAGAAACGAAAAATAAACCGAAATAAAACAAGCAAGAAAATATAGACGGACATGGCCGACCATATAATACCCGATGTATTTAAGCTATGTATTTATTGATAAAAAACTGATTTTTTGAAATAGGCTTTATATATTTATATCTTAATACTAATGGTCATAAGTCAATTATGGACGTTTAAATTATTTTCTAAAGGGAAGTTTGAGTTTCTTGTAGGACCAATACCTTTTGTGCGTTTCAAACTTCAGCACAAGACCATACCCTCCACGCTATAGTGTAGTGTATAAAAGACCAGATAATCGAATGCATTAATAAAAACACTCAAATAGACAATCATCGAAATATAGAGTCAGCAGAAGTTTAATGTACAAAAGGGAATTATCATAAAATTAACAAAACCTTATGGTTTTTGTAAATAAATAAATATTTGTTGAATAAAACCCCCATAGATATGAATGTGAAATGAAAAAATTAATTTATTCTTTAAAATGTATACTATTTAACTGGTTGTTGTATTATTTTTGCTTAATTAACGTTAAATGGTGGCAACGATAGTGATAAGTCTTTGTTCCTCAATATTTTAATTTTATAAGGCAAAAACGCGAAAATATCTATACTCCCCCCTACAAAACCTATTGGATTCCAAATGATTCGAAGGTCAAAACAACCACAGAATTACGGCACCCCTCTGTCATTTCCCCACTATTGCCTATGAAATTAATAAATTTCAATGTATAAATGCCATTTTCATTCTTTATAAAAAAAATAAAAACAAAAAATACCCGATAAGATATACCACAAATAATACGTCAATACATACATTTTTATACGACTAGTCGCAGCAACAAATAGTTCTATGGCAATTTGTAGGTTTCAAATGAGGAGATACGAAATAACAAAAATCCAACCACTTTTGCTGATAAAAAAATACTTACTCAATGTTGACTAATCAGTCAGTCTACTCTTATACATTTAACAATTAACATTGAAAAATTCCTTTATTTAAAAAATCGGTGGAATTACAAGCTACAAATTCAACAGGATGAAATTCTTGCACGTAGTTTTGGCCATTGTTTTGGCAATATTCGCATTTATTGTTCAAACTAATGCCGACTTTTGTCCCTGTCCCCGTAATTATGATCCCGTATGTGGCTCAAATTCTGTGACTTATGCGAATCGTTGTCAATTTGATTGTAGTAGACGTGAAGTGGAACGCAGTGGACGCAGTTTATCATTAATGCGTTCTGGACCCTGCTAAGGATTTTAATTAGTTTAGAATCTATATAAACATGTTCAATGTTTTTTCTAACAAATGTTTCATTAAATATGTTGTTGTCTTTCATAAAAAATATAATTGTGTACATTAATAAATAAAATTGTGTAAATTATTAAAAAAAAGTGCCTAAAATTGTGTTTACTTTTAAATCTTGTTTAATTATATTTTAAAGGAAAGATGAAATCAAGCAATTTAAAAATTGTACTTACCGAAACCGGATTTAGTGTTTGGATTTGGATAGTAAAAATATGACCTTCAATTTATCGATACTTGCAACTGATTTTGTTCACTATTTTCGCATGATTTTGCAAAAATGTTGCAAATTTTTTAGGGTCTTTTGGACCCTATAGAATGTTGCAACGAACCCCCATTTTGGAACCATTGCTTTAAAAGGTTATTTTTTGTTTTTTCTCTGTTATTTAAAATATAGGACTACAAACTAAAAAGGTATTCTTATTAAATAATGCCGAATAAATAATACATATTTCGATATGGTTCAATAAGAATTTTAAAATATTGCAAAATGCGACTTTTGACCTGCAAAGTTTATTGGTTTAATATTGCCTTATATGAATAAAACTTCAGGGATATATTTTCTACTGTATGAACTGTAATACTTTGAAAATATTTTATTTAAAATGTATAACAATTCGAAATAGCTAAACTATAATAGTTACACATTTAATTTACTGTTTTATTCTCTAATATATTGTCCATAAATCTCTATGAGATCTAAAAAATGTAAAATTGTTTAACAAAGTTTCAAAAAAAAACTAAAATATAATTTAGAAACGTTATCCTATCGGGGTATATTTTGCATGACTTAGTTTTACAACCCAAATAACAATTCAAGAGGAGGGCGGCCAAAATTCGCAACAAAATTTTTTGGAGCACTCATACATACATATCTCGAACACACAGTTCTATTCCTATATTACCAAGGTCTACAAAAAAAATGTGATAGCTGAAGTGCTCTTGAATCGAGATGTGGTTTTAAAATATTTCTAGCATGTAGAACTTGTATGCTATATCCATTTTAAATAAACTGAACTCGGGCCGCAATGCTGATCCTGATAACATTTTTTTTATTTTTTTTCTTTAAAGCTTTCACGCACGAAACTAAACCGCTTTACTTTTTATGGATATAAGTTCAGTACAAATTTTATTTTGACGCATATTGATGATTTTTTATGGAAAAAGAGTTTTCGAAAGATATCGCAGGACATTTTCCTGTTTAGCATGTAGTGCCATTATTTTTTATAATAAGCATTTATGTTTTTTGCCTTTATTATGAAATATTTTAAAAAGTTATTTTCTGAAAGAACAAGTGTTAAGTTGATCCTCAAAAAGTTATATAGAAAGTTATTGTGATACTAATATTTTTAAGGGAACTAGCTTCCCCAGCGTGCTTCGCTACACTAAAAAATTTGTCTAGCTGTTATATATTCTCAGATTTAGGTCATTTAGTATTTATTTTATATGGAAGGAACCAAGCCCACTATTTTTAGTCGACTTACTCTTAAACCAAATGTTCATATTGATACTTTTGTAGTTCAGATGGATGTTAAGTTGTTCTTGCAAAATTTGAGGATTCTAGCTCTAACAGATTCTCAAATATATTTGTATACATAATTTAAATGGAGTTATCACACACTATTCAATATTTTCTGTATATGAAAAGTACCACTATATCCAGTCTGCTCATTTTGCTCATATGGATGTCAAAGTTGTCCATATAGAATTTGAGGTCTCTAGCTCTTGCAGTTTCTAAAATAAAAAGTAACAAAATAAAAGAGGTTAGTTAGTTAGTTAGTTAGTCACTTAGTTAGTATTGCTGTCTTTTGGGTGGGAATCAAACCCACCACCCCTGATCTAACAGACTAGAATGCTAAATACTTAATCATTTTTTAAGTCACCTTTATAAAACATGATTTATTAAAATAATTTTTTAGAAACCACTTTAAAATTGTTACAATTGCTTTTAATTGAAAAACATTTCGATTTTTTTCTATTGTTTATTGAATTAAAAAAAAAATATCCGTATTATGTGTTTAAAGACCAAATTGTATCCTTGAAGCAATATTTTATTTCATCAACAGCTGCCAGGATGAGCAATAGCAAGTGTTCTGCCTTTTCGAGCCATTTTCGATTGGGCACAAGTAAATTCACAACTATTAGGATAAGTTACAAAATCATCACCACAAACAGGTTCCAAAATACGGGGACACATACACGTGGAATCGGTCAAATCATCAGTGGAGGCTTTATCAGCCACGGCAAATGCTAAAATTGCCAACAAAAGAATGGAAAAGACGGCAAAAAATTTCATTGTAAACGATGTTAACTCAACAAAGTGTTTGTATGAACTAAACTTAAAATTGGAAATTGTATGATATTTTGTAGTCGTTTATAAAGGTACTTGAAATGTTATTAGAGCGATTGGTAAAAACTTGTTTTTTTTTTGTATAAACAAATGTTGATATGATAACAAAAAAAGTTAATAGGAGTAATTCTACGTACTTTATTTATGTTAAGTGAAACAGAAATAAATATGTAGTTGCAACGTTATCAACAGATTTGGGCTAAAGGGACACGTTGTTAAAGATTATGGTCAAGATTGTCGTACACAGAGTATTATTAGAATTGTTTATAACAGATAAGATGTGCATTAGAGTGTCCCGACGAACAGCGTTTTTGGGAATTTAATGTAGGCACAAGTCAAAATAAACAATATTTTTTGAAAGGGTCCTCACTTTTCTAACAGCTATTGAAAACCTCAGTACAAATTAAATAGATTACGAAAAATGTTATGCCCATTTCAAAAAAAGTTAAAATCCAAGTTTATCGTAAGTCTTTTTTGGATAAAAAATACCCTAAAAATGTTACAATTATTTTTCCTGTAATAAGCTCAAAATTAGGGAATTTTTGAGATCCATTTAGATAAAATTTAAGAAAATCTTTTTTTAATTGTACTGAGAAAGTTCTCTACCAGAGAGTTTCAATCGCTGGAAGAGAACTGAAGACGATTTCGAAAATTTTATTTCTTATTTTTCCCGTATTAATTACAGTAATACGCATCGTTTGAGAGGTGTGCCTACAAAAAAATTGAGACACTCTAATGTGAATATGTATGTATGTGGTCCTATAGCACAACTCGTGTAAACGTTACTGCTGAATTAACCAATTCTGGAACATTAACCATTAGATAGCAAATAAATTGAAGTGGGTTCAAGTACATTTCTACTCCCAGTTATCTGTGTTGTAATATTATGGAAAATCAGAAAAATTGGGTCTTAACTGCTATCAGATTACTAACAATTTATTGTACAGATTAGAAAATGAAGCATTTGCAATGAATCACCTCGAACCAGAATATCAACCACCATAAAATAATTCATAATATAGTCTACTTCATTGAGTTATAAAAAAATTAAATGAATCACTGCATTTGTTTTTAAATTCATTAAGTGTTCGGATGATTGCTAGAAAATTTTGAACAAAAAGTCATCAAAATAGTCTCTCCTTTACCGTAAAATTGGATTTTTAAAATCAATGTGATAACAAAAAAAACAATACACCTTTTAAAGTGTATAGAATATGATAGATTTTTTAAAGAGATAATAACTTTATCTAAATACCGACATTTATGATAACTGTTTATATATTACATTATGTGACAAAAATAAATACCTGGGAAGTAATAGCATGTTTCTGAAAGGTTTCGAGTTTAACATTAAAGTAATCACCCCAATTCTACATTTCGATTACGTTTCTGCATTCAGTTACGCTACGATCAAAAATTTGTATTCCAACAAAAAACGGAATCGTAAGAAAAAGAAGAAGCATTTCCATTTTACTTCAATGCTTTACGATTGTGTGTATTCTGCATTACGATCGTAACTACGTTTTTGTAAGTTGCTATTTTAGTGACGGAGCTTCGAATCGACAAAAATTAGATCATGCCTAATATGCGTTGGGCACATTTTAACCAAACCAAAATGTAGGAAATTATTAATTATATTCGCTAGAAACAGATTTTTGTAACCTTTGACCTCCAATATCTCGCTTAGCGCACAAGATATTTTCGGTGACATTTAATTCCTTAATAATTATGCTAAAGAGAAGCTATGTGCCAATTTTAATTTAGCTATCTAAAATTCCGCAGCAAAACCCTTATTTTCCTGGGCTAATATTAAAAATTATTTAATTTCGTAAAATATCTAAATAAAGAACTCTTCTTGTACATTACGAAATCATTTTGTTACGAAAAAAATTTCCTTTCATTATCAAAAATATTTTTTTTTTTTCTAACAGTGTACTTTTGATTTCTAGACTTTTAAAATTCTTATTGGGGATTTTTTTCATTTGTGATTTTGTATTTTTTCTAGCTTTTCGTTTCAATTAAATTAACTACAACTTTATCCCCATGAAGCCTGAGAGGCATTATAAAAAGGTTTTCCTCGGATGCTATTAATTTTTCAATGACCTAAAACCTGTGGCTTTCTGTTACAAACTAAAGCTATTTTACCTTTTGAGGAGGATGCCATATGTTAGACATTAAGTACAATTTAAATCTGTTGAAACAACACAGCAATAACTTTCCAAGGTGATGAAGATTTCATGAGAAATTCTTACAATATTCATGTAACTAATTTTTGCAACCCCTTTTGAAAAAGGAACTTAAAGTTGGAATAAATACAACCGTATTTTTAAAGATTGAACAAGAATAAAATAAATTAGTTAAAGGAAGATACAAAAAATACATATTGTATGTATGTATGTATGTACAATGTACATAATATTTTGTTATTTTGCTTTGTTGCAAATATTTCGTAATGTGTGTGTGTGTTTTTTTGAGTTAACGAAAAATAATATTTAGTTTTACTCATTCTTTTATTTCTCTTAATTGTTTGCAGTTGCTAGCACTCCAGAAAATCTACCAAAAAGAGACGATTTATCTTGTTCGGGTGGGAGCAATCTTGCTACGGGTTGCCATACACAACAAACGGGCAACACCAATTCCCAACAACTACCAGCAACCAAAATCCCACAACTACAAGATCAATATTCAACGAGCGATAAAGCAACATTTACAAATTCACAATCAGCAGCAGCTGCAGGTGGTGGAGTAGGTGGAACTGGTATATCAGCCGCAAGAGTTGGTGCAGGAGCAGCAGCAACGTCAACAACAACAACAGCAGGAGTTGATGTTAGTAATAGTAAACAAGATTTTTCAAATATTAAAAGTCCCTCTGGTGTTCATAATACCCCAGAGAGTATCAGCAGTAGCATCTCAATTACAAGTAATAGCTCTGTGTCTACTATAAATGGTCAAGTTGCAAGTAAGTGTTTATTATTCCAATTTCCATTTTTATTCCTTTTCTTACTCTTGTTTCCAACACATTTTATTGTTATTGTTGTTGTATATTCAGTCCCTTTTGTTGATTCTTTTTCCATTTAATATTTTATTTTTATTATGTTGGAACAATTCGAACAATTGTAATAAGTATGAATATATTTTTCTCTGGGATTATATTTTAAGAGCATTTTTGATTGTTATTTTTATAAAAAAAGCCTGATTAAAATCTATTTTTCGTAAAATTATTTATGTTGTCTACCGTTTTTTCATCTTACAATTAAACACTACATTAGGAAACAGTTCAGCTCATAATGTTCGCATAGACCTTTTATGAGGATTTTATATCTTTGTCCGTTCAACTAACTAATGCCCGTTTATGAAAGCACATAGCAGGGATGGCAAATTTGGTACGATGGTACTTTTTTTGATACTATTTGATGTTCAAAAGTACCGTGATACTCCCGAGTCTTATTTGATACTCTCAGGCCAATATCTCAACCTCCGGTTATCGTTTAACAGGTGGATATACTGCCGGTTAAAATAATTTTTGTATGTAAAATGTCAATTTATCGTTATGATAAAACATAATCAGACAATGAGAAAATGGGGTCAAAGTATCTTTAAAAGTTTGTTTTAAAATTTGAAATTCTAAGAATGTTTTGAAATCTAGTTTTTAAAGCCACTTTTTAGAAGTATGTTTTGCAAATAACCAATGCAGCTCATTTCGAATTTTTATCTTGATTGACATTATATGAATATTAATCTAATTAAATTCCATTGTTAATATTATATGAAAAAAATTACCAAAAATTTCAATTTTGAAAAAATATTTGACTTTAAAACTAATTATTTCCAAATGATAGAAGCTCGAAGGACTCAATTTCTATCTAATATAAAACGATATGTTTTGAAATTAAGAATTCAACCATAGATAATAAGAGAAATTTTTTGGTGAAAATTATTTGGACTTTAAAGCAAATTACTGTTTCATGTCATGGATGGTCTTATGTATGGTCTCATGTGTAGAATTTGATATGACTATTGATTTTTTAAAAAATGAACACCTATGTACATCGAATTTTAATTTAATAACACATATGTATATTAGGGTGGCCCCAAAATGGAAATTCCTGATGTTCCCACCAAAAATGAAAATTTAGTTCATTCTAAGATACCATTTCTCAAAATTTTTGTCCTGACGTCAATATTTGGTGAGCTGGATCAAAGGATAAAAATGTCCTTTTTAGGGTTTTTATGTTATTTTTTTCACATTTTTGACAAATAAACCATATGCAAATTTAATATCATATGAAAGGTCCTTGGGAGACGATTTCAATGACATACACCAAAATGATTACAAATGTCGTAATTTTTCGGGAAAATTTTAAGTTTTTCATATTTTTACATAGAAATGTATAATGTAATTAATTGAAATTATTATATTATAAACCTCAACTCACCTAAATTTCACCGAAATGGTTTTTTCTGTTTTTCGAAATTCTTTATATTTTGTATTTTATCTTAATATTTTAAACTCTATTTTGTCTCAGGTATTCTGTTAGCTATATTTATCTAACATACATCAGCATACGCGTAATTTCATTAGCTTTACAATGGTATATAACACTTTATTCTATTACACAGTGATACAGCAAAAAAATGCAGGGGTTCTCATATACCAATTCCATTTCGTTATAGTCCATAGAGTAGGAATATATTTTTAATTTTTCCCGATCACTTCGTTTAGTTCCTTTTTAAGAGCAAAAGATGTGAAAAAGAGCTATTTTTGAAGTTTTAACTTTAAAAAAATATAAGTTGGGTAGTTTGCAACCGATTTTCAAATTGGATATTTTGTTTTAATGATACAAGTGTTGTCTTTCAACCCAAAAAAATAAATCCAAAATTTATGATTAATGTCTTGGTTATGGCCATTTAAGTAAAAAAACTCACACTTTTTTCACAATTTTTAATTTTCATACTGCTTTACGTTGGCCATGAAGCAGTAACTTTAGCTTTTATTACATTTGAAAAAAGGCACTTTAAGTTGGGTTTCCAATGATGGTCAATTTAAAATAATCGATGAAAAAAGTTATGAGTTGTGCTAAGTTTTATAAAAATATTGCATATTTCTTCCATACAAAAACATTCATGTTTCTGGTTTTCTTTGTAACAAGTTTAAAAAATGTTTATAAACATTTTTATACAAAAATTAATTTGTATGGAGAAAACCTAAAATTCGAGGAACATGCTATTAGAAAAATTGGCATAAATCATCCAGTTTTTCATAGATTTTTATGAAATAACAAGTTTTAGAAACCTTCCTTTATGTGATTCTTCAGGAAAGTAATAAAAGATGAACTCACTGCCTCATGGCCAAAGTAAAGCATGATGAAAATGAAAATTTTTTAAAAAAGTGTGAGTTTTTTTACTTAAACGACCGTAACTCAGACATTTGACCATAAATTTTGGATTTATTTTTTTGGATTAAAATGCAACACTTGTATCATTAAAAAAATACCGAATTTGAAAATCGGATGAAAACTTCTAAACTTATGATTTTTCAAATTTAAAACTTCAAAAATGGCTCTTTTTCGCATATTTTGCTCTTAAAAAGTAAGTTAACGAAGTGATAGGGGAAAACTAAAAATATATTCGTACTCTATGGAATATAACGAAATAGAATTGGTATATGAGAACGCCTGCATTTTATTTTTCTTCACTTTTGTATCACAGTGTTATCAATAAAATTTTTCAGTTTAACTATTCAGTTAACCAATGTCGGTTTTTTCTAAATGTTGATTTTTTCGAATATCGAATAACCCGGTTTTTTAACTTTTTAAAAACCGGTTTCGAATACTTTTATTTGCTTTGTATTCAAAGATTACTTCAATTAAATGTTGAAATAAATAATAATACCTGTCTAAATTTTAAAATATTCGAGTCAAGAAACTAGAGTATATTTTTCTAAGGCACCTTTGGTTAAACTTTTTTGATTTTCCTAATAATTTAAAAAAAATTATTTGTAAAATTGATTGGAATAACTGTTGGATAAAATTTTATCAATCTTAAGATTATATTCCAATTACAATAATTAATTTGGCGCTGAAATATTATAGCAGTGTTGGAATGCCTATGAAAATTTACTAAACAGGGACTTTAGAATAAACTAGGATTATGATTCTTCCCAATTTTTTACATTAAAGAAATAATGTTTATTTTAAAAAATCAGTTCGGGTCATAATTTTTTTTCAAATTAAACTAGATGTTTTTATGTATAATAAAAATCCGTTTTCTCTGAATTTGAAAAATATCAAACGGTTTTTTTTTCAAATGTCAACTATTCGAACTACTCGAAAACCGGTTTTTGGAAAATGTCGAATAATAGATCACCCTACGGTATATATAATACCTTTTCTACTTCTGTTGTTAATTATTTAAAAATGTCTAAATATGTGAAAGTGTATTTAAAAAATTAACAACTTTCAGCAAAAAAAAATATTTTAGTACTCTAAGATCCAAAAAAGTACCCTCTGAAATATTTTTTGATACTGAAACAAAATCTCATTTTCCATCCCTGGCACATAGATAAGTTCATTTTCATTCATGGTATATTGGATCCATTTCAATGGGGTTGTCTTTGGGGTAAAAAGGGAGTAATTGTAAAATATCATCAAATTATCTTCATAATTAGCACCTGTAGTTTGATTGCAACGTTTACATAGTAGGCGTTTACGGGCGTTTTAATGTACTTAATACAAGAAAAATAAAAACTATTTTTCTGGAAAGGGCCTTGATCTTGATCTTGGTACAATATGTTAAAAAAATGTCTTCAATCTTTTCGAAATGGGTCTTAAAAATTCTTGAAACCAGTTGGACAATTTTTAATGTATTTTTAGCTGCTGAAATCGAATCTGATATCTGTTTTTCTTTATCACCCACCATTTTCTCGCAAAATGGCATCGAATATTTTACCTATATATTAAAGGTTATCTAAGATGTCAAAAATAATAATTTTTCATCCATTGTATATTGCTTTAATTTATTTTTTATCTCTCTCCCTCTTTCAAGGACACGGAGCTCTTACCATTGTGCGCCGTTCCAATAGTCGTAAAAGTTTCAGCCAATACGATAACCAGCATTTATATTCATTGGCTAGTACACCCACACCATCATCCTCAACTCATCATAGTTTATTAAGCGAGACCACGATCAAATCATCGAGTGGCAACAACTCTCACGACAGTCGTCTTAACGATTCCACACATCAACACACCAACAATATAACAGCACCAATATCAAATAAATCACAGGCGCAATCAGCCATTTTCGACACGACCAGTAACGCCACAACCACTGGGACCCAAGATATAAAAATGTTACCAACTTCACCTAATTCGGGAAATAATACTATAACGCCGGGCGATGAAATGGAAAATACAAGGGAAGATTCAGCGTCTAGCGCGGCATCGGGTTTAACTATAACTTCGTCTACTGTCGATTTAGCTACTGAAAACTTACCAGCTGTCGATACACCAGATGCATGTGATAAAGCAGCATTAAGGTAAGGCCACTTCTATTTTTGTAGATTGGTAAAACTACAAAAGTTCCGAAAAAATTTATTTTTGTTTATTAACAATTTCTTAATTTTCCCCTTCCAGACTTCGAAGTCTTCTGCGCATGCTTAATACAGGCGAAATACAAGCCGATGTATTACAAAAAAATTTACATTATGCTGCACGTGTCCTTGAGGCCGTGTTCCTCGATGAATCCAAGTAAGTTGTTTTAAAGCTAGCAAATGTTATGTATTAAGCTTTTATAAAGCTGATCGCAATGTAATTGACAATATCTGCTAATTTGTTATTAGTAACTTAAACAGCTCCCAAAATGTTATAAAAAAAATAACATAATCGTAAAATCTACAGCCTATTTATGTTTGATCGCCATGACTCCAAGTATTTGTTTAAAAAAAATTAAAATATAACTAACAAATTTTTTAGTGGTAATATATATATATATATATATAGTAGTTTACAAGTCGCAAGAAATTGGAAGTGAATGGTGAGAATATTACGCTTAATTTAAAAAGGCTGACTAATTTAATTCATAACCAACTCATATGAAAATTTTAGTATTAAAGGTTTCTCTCTCTCTCATTTACATAAATTTAACAAATATATATTCCTTTATTGCTTTTAAGCGTATGGAAGAGCTTCAACAGTTTAAATGGGAATAAAAAACAAATATAATTTTAATCGTTTAAGTCATGCTCAATGTTAAACTTTTTTTTAATGTCATCCATCGTTTGTGTTTGTATATGTATGTATATAAAAATCGATTTTTTTCGATGTCCGCTTAAATATCATCCATATTTGTCAGAATTCGTTCATTGGAAACCATTTTGTTTTTCTTCCCTCATCAGCAGCCCGACCTGCCATTTTTGTTTTTTATTTGTGTATCTAGCCAAGTGCCTTTGTTGTTTTGTTATTGTTTATGTATGTAACATAATTAAATAAAATTTTTAGTTTTTATAAAATTCTTCATTATTATATTTTGTTTCTATTTTCAATCACCATCAATCAAAAATCAAATTTCAAAATACGAGAAGTCCCACGACAGGTAAATCAAAGTTGAGGCAAAATTCGTGCTCGTCCGTTGAATGTGAAGAGTAAGTTTTCATGTGTTTTATTTGTGCAAGTTTTCGTTTATAACCTTACATTTTTATATTGCCTCCTCGTAGCTTAAATCTAAGAGAATTTTGATTTAAAGCGTAAACACAATTAAGGCGACATAAAGTTTATAAATGTAAAATAAATAAATTTTACTACAATAATAAATTCCATTTTTTTCCATTTTTTTGTTATTTCAATTATAAAAAAATTAAAATTTAATTTTTTTAAAGGTTTTTAAAAACGTTTTTTGTAGGTGAAATTTTTAGACTTAAAAGAGTCTGTATGGTCTAATATACATACATACATATATATGTATATATTTTATACAGCTTCAAAAAATCTTTGTTTTGATTTATGATTGTTCCCAAAATATTTCTAGTCTATCGATGGCGATTCGTAAGCTGGACCGTTTACAAAAAAGTACCTTTTTATCCATTTTTTTTTAAATTTTACATTTTTTAAACAAAATATACAATATGTGGTATCATTTGAAAGGTTTCTTGAAGCCACGTCTAGTTTCATGTGTACATCGACTATTCCATGTTAAAAATTCTGAAATATAAAATATATACGTTTTCGTGTCATCGTCCTTTCGTCGCCTCAATTGTGTTTGGGTCTTATATTTTTGGTGTTATTATTTAGGACTGTTTTCATTATACATTCATTTAAATTTTCTTGTATCTTACAAGCATGATTCTGTTAATGTACTTTCCATTTATCATCATTCAGTCAGTCATTGTATTTCAAGTTCCAATACAATGAAAAATTACTCCCATACTTTTTCGGTCACATAGTTGAGACGCATTTTATCCCTTCATATCTTCTTTATTAAATTCATTGTCGTTTTCATTACATTAACATGTTTTTGAATATTATTAACAGAACAAAGAACAGCGAATAGAAAGTAAATATCAAATTTAGATTTGTGTATTTTTTAGTCCATTTTCTGTTGGCCTAATGAAATCTTTAAATCTCTTAGAAAGAATGCCTACAATCTTTAATGTACACTATCCCAACACAAATCTTTATTATACATAATTCGTTACTTCTTAGTTTAGGATTTTGAAATGATTTGATCTTTTAAATATCAAACCTTTAAAAATAAATTATCTAAATGTTTATTATTGTGTGTATGTAGACAATTTTAATTAAGTTTTAATGTGACTTTTGATTCTCAATAGAGAGAGAGGGAGAAAACAGTTTTAATATTATATATATAGGAATTATTTGTGTCATTTTAAATTCTTGGTGTTTTCATAATGATCTCTTTCTATTCTGGATAAGCTATCTTTATCACATAAATCTATTTTCAGCAAATTACCTACAAAAGAAATTTTCAACTTTAAATGTATATTCTCCATTTAAGCTATTTTCCAAATGGAGTATAATTCATTGGAGTTACACATACAAACATATTTTGTAGCTTTTTATTAAAAAATTTTACTTTAGTTGCGGTGAATTTAAGATGTTCAAATAGAATATTTTAATGTCTTGATGAAAAAAAAATCAGTTTAAAATTTTCAGCATTTTTAATTCTTCAAAAAAAAAAAAGTACAAGGTAACCAAGGATACCAAACAAACATTTCATTGAACTCATTACAAGACTTAATGCAAATAAAGTAACTGTATGCAGTTTAAAAAAACGCTTCCTTCAACATTACATGTAATTTTTTTCGGATCATACAGAAAAGGTGCATATACATAAATATTGATGTTTTAATTTACATTAACTCGTATTATATGCATTTGTTACTGTTCAGTCCAAACAAAGAATATAACATAGTGAATCGAAAAATGTCCTTTTTGGTTTATATTTTTCAAAGCAAACGACGTCTAAAAAATAAAACTATTAAAACATTTTTTTTTTAACAAACAATAAAGTGATAAATTTTGTATGTATGTATGACTGACTATATCAATCTAAAATGACATGCAAAAATACATAAATTTTATTTTGTCATAAAAAAATATTTTTTTTAACAACATGGTTGTTTAACTCTGGTATAAATTATTTCTAAAGCCAAAAAGTATTATTATAATTTAAAAAAACAACAAACAGTTAAAATTCCAGAAAGCAAATATAAAATGTAATTTTTATTTTTACATAAAATACTTTTGCATTTACTTAATCACAATTTTGCTGAATAATACACTAAAACTTTACTAAAAAAATATACAAACGATAAAAAACAAAACTACAAATTAATTAAAATGTCAAAATGACATTAATTTTACAAAATAAGGAAAATGTTAAAATTGTTTTTATTTTTTTTAATGATAATTACTAGACCATTAAATCGTTTATGTTTTTAAGAAAATGTTTAATGTTCAATCTTAAATCAGCAATCTTTACAAATGCAAGGCTATAATAAAAACTTCCAAATGGACAAATTTGTTGATAACCTTTTAAGACACTTCCATTTTTTAATATTTCACTCAAAGTATAATATCAAAATAATATGAAAGGTCTTGTCATATTAAAAATTATTGCTCTAGTTCAAAAATATAGAAATTTTTATAATTTTTGAAAAATTGAAAAAATTTTAATTTTTTAAAATTTAATTTAAAATTTATATACATACATATACATATGTATGTATCATAAACCATTTAAAAGTTTTACTTCGACTTTTTTGTTTTATGCAAATAAAAAAGATTTTATGACTTCGAGGTCATTGACACAGTCATTCCAAAATGGGAACGAGTTACAATTTTTTTTTTTTTTTAACTTCACCTTTTGATTCCATTTTATTTTTTTAGGGTTATATACATATATTTCAAGTACCTCAACCATTTGTTTAGACATTAAAATTCAATATTTGCTGTTGTACCCTGGGTTATAAAAATACATACATTCTGGGAAAGAAACTAGAACTACTTTATTTGATTGTCCAATAATGTAAAATTAAAACTTAGTTTTTCTGTTTTATAAAATAAAATATACATATATTTTCCAATATTTCGAACTTTAGCTCGAGAAATCTTTTTTGTATATCAAAAAGCATTAAATTTCACCGAAACGTTTTTTTTCGTTTTTCGCAATTTAATCTAGAGCAAATTTTATTTGAAACCAACTTGCATCCCAAACATCGCTTAGTAAGGTAAACAACAACATTAAAAATATATTTACAAGGAAGTATGTACATATATTAATTAAAATCTTATGATCATATTGATTAAATAGCTAACACAAGATCAGGGAGAAATGTGTTTCGAAAAATTTCAACAAAATACAAACTAGATCAATTTTGAAAAACAGAAAAAACATTTCATTAGTGATATTATAGGATACGTAATATGTAATAATTTGAACTAATTAAATATATGTTCTTCTATTCTATGTAAAAATATGATAAACCAAAAATTTTTCCGAAAAATTTAATATTTGTTAATACTTTTGTTATCGCATATAAATATTTAATATTGAAAGCGCCTTTGAAAAACTTTCATATTATACCATATTTATGTACATACATATATAGTTTCTTTGTAAGAAATTTGAAAAATATCTTGAAACCTCAAAAAAGAAAATTTTTATCCTTTGATCCAGCTCACCAAAAGTTGACAAGACAAAAATTTTAAGAAATGGTATCTTATTTAAAATGAACTAAAATTTAAATTTTCGGGGGAAACATAAACAGCTTCGATGGGGCGAATAAAAAATAAACGTAATATTTATCAAACATTTATGGATCGATGGTATTCGTTTTTTAGCTACATTTTTATATTTTTGTTCAATCATTTTCAGGTTATTTTTGTCATTGTACAATAATTATATTTGCAGGATACGACAAATAACTTTAATTTAAAAAACATTTTCTCTTATCTTTTTTCCTCCTTCTAAACTGCCTACAATTTATTTTACTCAACATGTGAATTTAAAAACAAATTTAAAAAATTGATTGATTGCCTTTCTGAAATTGGTTGCTCTTACTTCACTGCTAATTGCTGAATTTGCTGTTGTTTTGTCTATAAAACGCTAAAACAACAATAAACTCTTTAAAAACCCCACCTACTCCTAACTAAACGAAACGATAAAACCATAAAACACAAAATAAAATTAATTAAATCCCCATATTACCTTAGTCAAGGCAACAAATTGGAAACAAAGGATGAACGATGCAATGGTGACTGTAAAAATGTTGAATGTAGTCAACATGAGCACACAACACATTCATCATTGGACCCTAATGCTGCCTCAAATGAGAACAACAATATTAACATTACCTGCTCCATGTTGGGCAGTACGACGGAGGGAAGTGAGCTCTCAGCTGAAGCTTCAAATTTTCAAACACAAAATGCGTCTAACAATCAAACCAGCATAGACAGTCGCACCAAGGGAGTGTGTTCAGCCCCTCAGACACATAGTGGTCCCACGGGACCTCCGGTGGACAGGGATAACCCTGGCATACGAAATGCATCAGACGGGGACGATGCACACAAACAGACTGTTACCATCACCTGCTCAAGCTCTCGACAAGCCCCATCGGATAATATTAGCAACAGTTCAGTTAGCAGTAGCAGTTGTAGTAATAAAGCAACCATACAGAGGCAGAAACGTCTAAGAACACCGGTCTGGGCCAGATCCATGTCGACAAACAAAACGTACATAATATTATTTTCCGTAACATATTTATTGTATAACTGAATTATTTACCTAAGTTATTTTGTTTCAAATGAATTTGTTTCCTTTTGTTTGTTTGTCTTTAAACAGCTTTTAAGAACTGAGCCTACACATATAAAACAATATTACACAAACAAAATACTCTCCCACAACAAAATATTTTGAAAACAATTAAGAGTTTTTGCCCTTGTCCTTTGTTCTCTTCTATTCTAACTTCTGTCTTAAATGATCTTTCTCTTCTATTGTCACTATGTCCTCTTAATCTTAAAATCTATGCTATTGTAAATATCAATTCAATTTTAATGTTTTTCAGCATGTCTTTTCTCAGATTTAACACTTTTATGTAAATAATTTATGTGATAGATATGTATG